ACCTGAGAAGCACAGCACGAATAGAATTGAGGACGTCAGGGCCCTTTAACAGGAGATCATTCAGACTCACCCCTCTGCACTTCTGACTACTGTTCCAAACCAGTCTCACCGGAGTTGTGACTGAGTGTGGGTTGGGTGCGATGAGGTGGCTAATGTACCAGACTGGGCCAGTCCATGTCTGAAGGACGTCTTTAGACAACTTCATTGCAGCTCGGCGCTCGACCATCTCGTGGACTTGAGCAGCATAGGCAGCTTTCCACTCCGACTCCCTGGTCAGCTGTCTCTCAGTCCTGAAGAAAGTTGCCTCAACTGCACTCCTGTTGCTTGGTAATGTGGCTGGATCTTCTATCCAGGGGTACTTGGCTTGCCAGTGAGGCCTCTCACTGTGCTCATCAGCAACTACATATGTGAGCCCATTCTTTACCACCTCCAACTCCCTTTCTTCAGCGAGGGTCATTTCTTTGCCGCCTGGGTGGCAGTTTCCACAGCGACAACCTCCACATTTTGGAATGCAGCCAGCACCGATACTTTCCCATTTCCACCACTCGAGGAAGCTGGATGTTGTAGTTAAACAACTGAATCCCTGAGGTTGCTGGCTTTGTTGACGATGAATGGGGACCACGCAGGTGTGTTCTTCATACTTCACAGCAGCAGTTCTCATAGACCTTGCGAAATGCGTTCTCGATGTGTGAGCTGATACAGTTACCGCCTCAAACAACTCAGGATGGGTGCCAGCAACTGTCTTTCCCATCGGTCCGTCCCACAGCACAAGGTCCCCTACCGTGCGGATTTTCTGCGGGGCCAGCTGGCCTTCCTTGTGACTCACAAGGAGATGGATCTCCCTCGGTCTTGCCAGGTCGCTGAGTGGAATGTCTGGGAAGAACTCTTGTAGTTTTTTAGCTGACACATGTCTTTGAATGTCTGCAATGCTGTCTAGGCCATAGCAAACCAGCTGATGAGATCTAAGAGTGCCTCTTAAAGTGCTGACCCGAATTTTCAGGAGGTACCGCTTTGTCTTAACAAAGACTTTCATGCCTCCTACACCATGGACTACAAGCGTGATGTCTTCACTTCTAAGATTGAGCCGACCTGCTGCCTCATGGGTGATATAATTAGTATCAGAAGCTAGGTCTATAAGAGTCCCAATTTTCTGCCCAGCATTTGCGGTTACCTCCAACAGCATCATGATGACTGGCCACTCCGCTAGCCCGCTCTCTACCAGAAGACTTGAATGACTCTTTGCAATATGTGAAGTGCTCACTGCTGTATTACAGAATGCGTCCCGGCATTGTTGAGCTAATTCAGGTGAAAGTTTTCCGAAGAATTTTTCCTGAGCCTCGGTGTAATTCCTCCAGCTCTCACCTCCCACTGTGCTGTGTTTTCTCCTCCTCTGAGCCATACTGTCTCTGGGTGCCTCAGCACTGGGACACAGATAGTAGTGATGGTCTGTGACTCCCTGCTTCCCACAATCGGGATTTCTGCACAAAAACAAAGTTTTGCAGTGATTACCCTCGTCATGGACCTCCAGACATTTCCAGCAGGCTCCCAGCTTCCGCACTGCGTCCTTCTTCTCTGTGAGCTTGAGCACACGGAACCTTTTGCAGAAGTACAGCTTCTTCTTATGCTTGATGTCCCCACAGACAACACATCCAGAGAGATTGCTACTTAACTGGTTTGAGGCTCTGGTTCTAGCTTGCCTTTGCTCCGGTCGGTTTTCTTTCCTCAGCGGCTCTTCATCCCTCAATTGATCCAGCTGTTCGTAGATGCTCTCTTGACTCTTGAGAAAGGCCAGAAGATAGTCAAAGCGCTTTTCTGGGTCAGTACTGCTTCTCTCAGCTGCATAGAGAAGCCACTCTTTCTTTAGTGCATCCGGCAGCTTGCTCTCAATTGACTTTGTCACCAGAGGGTTCCTTAAAGCGCCAGTGTCACCAAGATCACTCAGATCTTCAAGGGCTTTCTCCACAGCTTGGATGAGCTCAACAATTTTCCTGGGCTGGTGCCCTCTGGCAGCTGGAAGTCTCTGGAGCTCCTCAACTATCTCAACAGCGATCGCAGTTTGGCTTCCGAACCGATTCTCTAGCACACGAAAGATGTCTCCTGCGGTGTTATAATTCATCAATCGAAGATCTCTCATTACTTTCTCATCCAAACTGTCAAGAAGCTGGAACTTTTTGACTTCCTTTGAACCAGTGGGTTCTCCTTGCCTCTGGAGGGCCTCCCAGTCCCTTTTCCAGCGATGAAAGTCTCGCCTGATGCCAGTAAACTTAGGGAGGGAAGTAGGCTTCAGTCTAACTGCTGCTGTTGGATAGTTGATAGTAGCTGCACTCACAACTCTTTCGGCGTCTTCTTTAGCTTTTGCTTGAATGAACTCTGCTTTTCTTGACATTAACTTAGGGATGATCTGCTCAAGATTTCTGACCCGCAGCTGAAAATCTTTCCGTTCAGCAGGGGGAACCCAACACTTCCACTGTGTATGCAGCTCTTTTGCCCTCTTAACCAGTTTTTCCATGTAATCAAACATGAAGTCAAAACTCTCTTTACTCCCATCGGGTCCAAAGGACACCACACACTCTACTTTCTCCTCTGCAACCTTTACTGCCATCGACAGTTCCTCTTCTCCAAAGTTTGCCCAGAGTGTCTTTTGGATTAGCTCCTTGAGCTCGTTCAGTCTCGTCTCACACTCACTTGTAGTTTTCTCGATGTCGGCCTTTTGCTGCTCATTCAACCTGGGAACCTCTTCGGAATCAGTATCCAGCTTTGCCTCTACAAGGTATTGGGCCTCTACATCATCGTTGGCTTCCATGACCTTGTTGGCCTCAATTACGAGCTTTTTGAAACTGTCCCTGAGCTCCTCTTCAGGTGTGATGCCATGCATCCGGACTACGTTGTTAGCCAGTCGTGAGAATTGCCGCTTTGCAGATGTCCTGTTAGCTTTAAGCTGCTCCAGTGTCTTTGAGTCAGCCATCTTCTTTTCAGCAGGATTGGGTGAGATGATTTCCCGTTTTATCAGGCCAGGCTGGTTGCTGTTCAGGATTCTCTGCTCCAGTCTTCACAGGGGTTTTTTACTGTCAAGTGCATTCACTTTAGTGAAGTTCAACCCTGCAGTTTCCCCCACTTGATAGGGTATGCTTGCCTCTGAAGGTTTGGACTGGATTTTACTCAATGACCAGGAATCAATTCTTTCTTTTCCTTCTTTTATTTGAAAGTTGTCGTAGCCATAAGCAGGTAAAAAACCTTAAATACAAACACAAGTAAATCAATGAAACACATAATAAACTCAGGTAACCATAATAAACATCACCATCCAACATCAAAATACTTATTTTAAATCACTGCTCACATAATTTAACTTTAAATCCTAACAACTTTAACCCTCTACAAACACAATCCTACACTTACAGTTTTTCCCTTTTAAACTTTACAATACATTACTTTTAACCATGCTTCAAATCTCCATGATGTTAAATGTACAACACTTTAGTTTACAATTCAAACACATGGTTTTATACAAACATTTTTTCCCTAAATATAATTACATGATTCACTTTAATATTAAAATCCACCACATTTCACAAACAAACAAACGCTCACCGACTCCTTCCTCGTTCAGACAAGCTTTAGTCCTGCAGTCTCATTTTTTCCCAGTTCCTCAACACATCTTCCCAGCCTGCTTTCTATCCTGTGAATGACTCCAAATCTCCTAATTACCAGATCCTTCCCACCTGGTGACTAACTAGCTGACTGCAGCTAGGCACCACAACCAGGGAAAAAAGGGCGTGGTCTGCAGCTCAGCTTGACATTTACTTTTACGAGCATGTCACATAGTTCGAGTCCCTCTGTCCAGCGGGGGTTCACATCCGGAAGGCAAATAGCCTTCAAGCTGCAGACCATCCACTTCCGCTAGCCGAGCTAGCTTCAGTTCCTGTGGCATAAAACTGCAATTCATGCACTGATTGTCAGACAGCCCCTCTCTCAAGTGAGTAACACCGAGGCACATGGGGCATTCATCATGGCCATCTGCAGCCAGCAGTGTAGCCATGCAGAAGTGACAAACATGTGTCCCTAATATGGTGGGACCCTGTTTCTTTTCCATATTTTTGCAGCTTTTATATATATTTTTTTCACAACAATAACTGTTATCTAGGAGCGAAAACACCCAAAATAACAGATCAAAATGAGCTCCTATGTCCTTGCCTTGTTATTGAAGACAAATGAAAATAACTCCTCCTTTTAACAATAAAAGTAAACTGTACACATAAGAAAAATCACTTAGAGTAACAGATCAGAGAGAGTCTCTCTTTTATTTTAACTCAAATTAAATAACTCTTCTTCACTTACTAACCAAAAAAAATCACCCATATGTAGCTGTTAAGTCTACCGGGGAGCCAACGCTCTTTACCAAAGGATGAATTAAGGTTTACTTGACATGCTTTAACGAGTGAAAACACTCGGCAGAGAACCTACAATCAACTAAGAATTACCGCTAAGCGTAAAACAATCAGAAACAAAAGAATTAAGGAGGCCGCAGGAAGGAAGAGAGAATACAGGCCCAGGTCCAGTTAAAGGATACAGAGGCTGTAAATGCATTTACCATGCTTTGACTTTTTGTAGAATGGTGCGGAACATGCCTACGAAATTATATTAAGATCATTAATATGTAAATAAGTAAGTCTCACTGGACTTTATGTTCATTTGGTAAAAAAATTTAAATGAAACAGGAAATACATCTTTTTATGATTTTAAGTATATAATGTAATAAGTGAAATATGTTTTTCTCTCTTCAGAGTGGACAATACATATTGTTACTTAAACTAAACTTTTTCTTTAGTCTGGAGTTAGCAAAATAAATCACATTATTTAAAACTGCAGTAGGCAGCACTATTTTGACTGTTGGCTGTCATCAACTGTAATCACAGTGTTAACACAGAAATCCTGATGGTTGATGTCAGTGTCTTAATTAGTGATGTTGGGATGCTGTTTGTATGTGTGTGCACACATAGGCTGGAGCCAACCTGGACATGTTTGATGAGGAGCAGAGAACACCACTGATGGCGGCCTGTGAAAACAACCATTTGGACACAGTGAAGTACCTGCTGAGAGCTGGAGCAGCTGTCAGCCACAAGGTGGGTCAGCCCACGCTCTGCTGGATCATATCAGTCAGTGTCAACTTGTCCTACCAGCCTGATATGTGCTCATGGCATATACTGCTTCTTCATCCATCACTCAGCTCTTTCTCACTCAGTCACCTGCTGCCACTGCTCACTTCTTTTGTACAACTAGTATGAAAATCGCAACATTAATATTATTATTTTTACCTCCTCAAAAAAAACATTTTGTCAGTGTTTGATTGAATATACTCAAAATAACATACACACAAAATAAAAGAACCAAAACAAGTTTACCTTGACAGATTTTTTATCCTTAGGTGCTCAGAGACAAACTTTTATCTAAATGATGAAAACAAATAGTACAGCCAAGTAAACATTTAAAATGCAACACAGTTAAATAAAAACCCCCATATAGTTATCATGAGGAAATTAGCTGTAGAGACCAAACCCATTTTTCTTCCTGTCTGTAAACGTGTTTATTTCTGCTCTTAAGTTGGGCATTTTAAAATGGGTGTTTATGGGGATTGACTTGCTTTTGGAGCCAGGCTCAAGTAGCCATTCAAGGCACTGCAGTATTTCTCAGCCTCAGTGGTTGCTTCTTTGTTTTTGTTCCACTACTTTTCAATTGGTGTGCAAAGTTCTAGGAATTATGGCAGGAGCTGGCACACACGGCCCCAATCTATGTTAGTTGACTTCATCTTATGAAAAATAGAAGCATCACAAGTGCTCACATCAGCTTCTGCCCAGTTTGGTCCCTACAGGCCTGGAATTTCATCATGCAGCAAGGCCACTTGGCCATTGGTCAATTCGTTTCTGAGGGAGCACTGAAGGGAGGGGTGTATTTGTTTGCCAGTTAAGTTCAAATATTAACAATCCTTTTGCAGAATCACTTGCTCTTCCTTTAATGCTTGTCAAACCATTTATCATCTTTTGTGTTGGGTGTGCTGAGAGAGGTCAGTCTGTATAATGTCATAGTAAATAGTGTGCGATATTCATGGTTTTCATATTAATTTCAATGGCTAGGGTAACTTATATCTACTACAATTAAAATGTTTTACACAACAGCAGAAAGCAAACTAGAACAACACCACAGTATGTCAAAGTAGCCACAGCAAAAACAGTCAAGAACAGGAACTAATGCATGACAACTGAAGGAGATGAAGAGGGAGAGACAGCATCTGGACGAGAGAGAGCCACGACCAGTTCATCCTAGTTTCAAATGATGCAGCGTAGGGAGGATCCAGATGTTTAATAGAGGCAACGCTGTCTGACTGTCTGTTAACAGAGACTTTGCAGTGGCGTTCATACACTTCACTGATAAGTGAGTCGCAGAGCAACATTAGGCTTCATGATCAAAGAAAGTTTGTCACATCGACACATTCATGCTCCCTATTGTCTATAACTCTCTCGCTTGACGTTGACAAGCTTTTTCAACGGCCCTGGTTAAATTTACACAGTGCCGTGGGTACGAGTCTGTGTAGCCTGATTGACAGGTTGCCATGGTAATTTGTCAATCGCAAATAATCCCGCCCTGAAGCATACTCGGAATGAAGGTTTATGGCACTTCTGCATTGGATTCACGTCTCAGACTGGAAGCTTCCCGCTTGCTCGTTACACAAACACATTGCACTGCAGTTAAAAGACCTAACCCCGCTGCTCTTATAACTGCACCTGTCACGTAGATGTCCTTAGATGAATGAGCAGAGGAAGCTAGCAAAGCGTGATTTACCGTGCTCACACAATGTGCGGGTGAAAATCATTTGTGCCACTTTGATATCAAATAATTGAGTGAAATTTTAGTAGCAGCGGTCATAATTCAGCAGCGGCGATGCGCCCAATAACCGTGTCTGTAATGTGCATGTCAACCTTACCTTATTAATAAACATTAAGATAATGGATTTGTGAAATCTGTGAATAAATAAACCCAGCTTTAATAGTTTAGCATATTTACAGTACAAAACTTGTCAGTGAAATGTGAGGGGCAAAAAACTAAATAATTGTTCAATAATCGTAATCGAGGTGAAATGTTCAATTAATCGTGATTTTGATTTTAGTTGAAATCGTCTAGCCCTATCTATGAATAGTAGAACATTTTATTAATCTCCCTATTTTTAAGCCTAAACTACGTTCTAGAGTAAGGGTGCTCCGATCGATCGGCCACCGATCGTAATTGGTCTCTAAAAAGGCCGATCAGAAAAGCCGATCAGATGCAATACTCACCAGACAATTTTCAACTGCAGCTAAAATGGTTTCACTACGTGGTCTGAGCGGTTTTCAAAGCTAGCTAGCACCAAAGTCCTTTTCAGACAGGAAGCGATTGATGCGCCTATTTAATCATTTACAAAGAGAGTTGAGCAGCAATCAGATAAGCGGAGCAACAAGCAGGCACGATAATGTGAAACTGTCGCGGTCGTGCTCATCTCACACACAAGCCGCCCGCCAGAGTTTATTTGTCTTGACCCACAGCGCATCAGGCAGAGAGAGGCTGACGCTTCTGTGTGAGGTACCACTCAATCAGATGACTGCTTCTCTCTCTCAATGCGTTTTTGTTTTAAAACGGAGACCTTTTGCTACTTTCTTCCTCCCGTCCAGATTAAAACCGTGAATCTGAAGATATTTGAAAACGCTGCTGACCCCGTGGGCAAAAACGGAGGACTTTATAAAAGGATGACACAGACACTCACATTTTGCTTTCTGATTTGGTCTTGTCAGTCAAAGCAAAAACACGATGCTACTGACAGTTTTAGTTTCAGTATTTTTATTAAAATATTTTTTTAGGCCTACTGTATAAATAACACTTGTACTGTGAATGTCGCCGTTGTTATAAAACTGTTTTAAAAAATGTAGTAGTAGTCAGTAGTAGTAGTGTGGATGTAGCCCAACATAACCCCACTCCTCTCTCTAGTCCTCTCATGTCAACCCTCCCGTTTCGCCCGGGATTCTCCCATATTTTTCTGTTCTCAACCGGTATCCTCCATTTTAAATGTTTCCCCGTAAATCTCCCTTATTTTTAACCTTTAGAAAATCAATCTTGCCCAAGGATTTAATAGATGAAAATACCCCCCTGAAATAATATTAGTCCTAGGCTATACTAGTGGTAAACCATATGAAATTATAATGAATTTAATAAGTAATAATAATAACACTTTTGGTATAGTATAATATGGAATTAACATTGTACTTTTATTTATTAAAATTTCCCTTATTTTCAGTCTCATTGATGACAGTTTTGACTCCTCTGTAGCCCACTCTCCATCTTTCTGCTCCTCTCTCTACCCCCTAAAACCCACAGAACCTGCCGGAGCTTTCCAGAGCAAAAAGCGGCTACTTTTGTTGCATTGTTTTTAGTTGAAGATTTATAAAGATGCTGTTTGTTCTGTTTTTGTAGTTTACTCCACTGGAAAGCTATATTTGTTATAATATAAGATGTTCGCAGTAACCAGGCACAGGCTTCTATGGTTTAAGTCTGTAAGTCAGAGGGAGTGGAATTTGTTGCCCATGTTTCCTAAAATGAACAGTTGTCATTTCATGATACTTTATCATCTGTTAATTTTAATACTTAATAGTTTGTTTTTAGGACTAATTAAAAAAATATACTGTATAATGCTACATGATAAATAAAAGACTTCAAATAGACCCAGTGATTGGTGACCGGTACCAGCCAATACTGCTTTCGGTGATCAGCCCAAAAAATCCTGATAGGAGCACCTCTACTCTAGACTGTGGGGAAACGTTTAGGTACCTTTCTGAACTGGTTCTGTTCACTGGTGTCCATTCCAATTTCCTGTTTCACCCACAACTCTCATGGAGTCCAGAAGCCAATGAAATGTCCTTTCTCTTGGACTCATGTCATCCTGTGTTGTCATCCCAGGATGTCATGGGATTCACCTGTCTGCATTTGGCAGCTAAATTGGGACATTATGATATAGTCCATCATCTGCTCTCCAAGGCTTCCAAATTCATCAACTGTCAGGTAAAAACACACACTGCCTCATTTACTAACTGCTGCTAACAGTTATTTTCGTGTAAATAACAAGTCAGGTGTTAGTGTCAATCTTTGCACGAGTTTTATAACTTCTGTCTGTGCAGGATGCTGGTGGATGGACCGCCATCACCTGGGCCATCGAGTACAAGCACAAGGAGCTGGTCCACCTGCTGCTGGCCAGAGGGGCCGATGTAAACATCAGGGACAAGGTCAGTGCAAACGACACGCTGACACCACAATCTGTTTTCTTCTTTTTAAAATAACATGTTTTTAAAAGGCAAATATTTAGTAATGAAAAACCAATAAGAGTATAGATAAAGAACAGAACAAATAAATAGTATCAATAAATGTATCAATAAAATCCTAACAACAATATAAAATAAATACAGTATAAATGGCAGCTGGTAAAGACAAAGTTTATGATAATTTATCAATCATAGTTAACAAGTCGATCTCTGGGAAGGATCTCTAATTCATTTAATTTACTATTTATAAAGATTAAACATGACAATTAACTTTAATCTTGTTATTTTCAACAATGTTTGTGTTATTCTAAATTTTGACACCAAGATTTAAAAATTTTTACAGCAAAGGTATATCTGTTCCATATATCAGTCGGTCATCAGTCTAATTGGTTACTAATAATCTGTATCGGAGTCGGCCTGGAAAAAAACATATCGATTGATCCCTAATCTCGATTACAAGATCATTTGATTTTTTTTATGTTCTCAAAGTCACAAGACTTTGAGACATAAATGCTAGAAATCATCTCTTCTTGGTCAATACTAACATTATCGATTTAACTAGACATAAGTAACATGCCTCACTGGCTCTACCTACTGGTTCATTTCAATTTATTTTATTTTCAAGTGATAGACATAACATCATGGATATCACACTGATGCTTTACTTTTTGTAGGAACCTGGGGTCTCATTTATTAAAAGTGTGTTGTATCCATACTAAAAGTATAGGGTTGCACAGCTGAAAATGGCATGTGGCAAAAAAATTAATCTGTGTCAGTGCATCTGACAGCCATGTCAGAGGCGGCTGTGGTTCAGGAGGTAGAGCGGGTTGGCCGTTAATCGGAAGGTTGGCGGTTCAATCCTTGGCTCTCCCTGGTTGTGTGTCGAAGTGTCCTTGGGCAAGATACTGAACCCCGATTTGCCCCTGGCGAAATCCGCCATATGAATGAGTGTGAATGTTAGTTTCCGTTTGAGCACTTAGGCTCAGTGTATGAATGTGTATGAATGTGTATGACTGGTGAATGCAGATGTAGTGTAAAAGCACTTTGAGTGGTTGAAAAGACTAGAAAGGCGCTATACAATTTTTCAATGTGAATATCCTTTTTGCCTGAAGAGTTTGTGTACTACCAGTGTGAGTGAATGTATTTATTTAAATTGCATAGTGGGCAGAGCAAAGTGACTGTGGGATTCTTCTGTGTAGGCTCAGGGCTATAAAGTGCCACTATTTCACTCGCATACGCAAGTCTCACATTCCACAAGCTGCAATGTGCCCACGCTAGAGTTGTCTGTATTGAGTATTTTCAGTCATCACTGTGATGGGTGAAAAAAGCTTTGTCCATATTTTAGGTTTTGTGTGTTAAATGTCAGACCAGAACATTACTTTTGCTTGTTAGATAGTGTGCGTAAGTTTCTTTGCAAATGTTTAAATGTAAAAAAGAATAAAGCGGTTTCAATGTTAATAAAGGCTTTGACAGTAGCCTAAAAGAATAAAGTTTTTGGTTGGATGGCACAGACTTTAAACCATGGCTGATGCCTGTCACTGGGAATAACCGGCAGGCGTATTGTTGGGTCTGTAAGAAAGCAGTAAGTGTAACCTTTAGGTGTAATGGGGGCATCAACGATATCTGGTCCCATATACACAGTGCTTTTCAATTCAATTCAATTTTATTTATATAGCGCCAAATCACAACAACAGTTATCTCACAGAAGAGCAGGTGCAGTACTAGTCACAAATAAGTTTTAGGATGCTGACAAAGTTGTCTATTGCAAATTTGTGTGCTACACCGCCTACACCACTCCATCACTCATTTTATTCTCTTGAGCTTTGTTCCCTCCAAGCCTCTCTGAATTCTGTTGTATCGATTCAGTGGTCCATAGAAGTTATCACAAACTAAGAGTGTTTAGTTTTGTCAGTCTCAAAATCAATAAATAAGTAAGTTAAAGGTGCGTTTGTGTAATTTTTAGTGGCATATAACGGTAAGATTTTAGATTGCAACCAACAGAATACCCATATTTAAGCCTGAAAATAAATTATGTCAGGTATCTTGCAACTGCTTGGCGTTAGCAAGCAACCTACTGTGTTTGACATGATTTCACGTATTGCGCACATAAACGTCATAGCCGACGTAAGCTAATGGATTTTTGCGGGAAATCCGACCAGTGCTTCACATAGAAAACAGTAGGCCTATACAGGCTGTTATAGGCAATTGAGAATGTTGGTGAATGCCTCAATTTTTAAGTGAGGTCACAACCCATTCCCACAGAGGCAATCCAAATGTGATAAATAAAATTAAATTCCCATTTAAACTCCACGATGCACCTTTTAGAGGTTTGTGCTGACCTCTTATCTGCTCCTTGTTCAGGAAGAGAATGTCTGCCTGCACTGGGCGGCTTTGTCGGGCTGTGATGACATCGCTCAAGCTCTGCTGGAGGCTCGATGCGACCTCAGTGCTGTCAACGTTCACGGTGACTCACCGCTTCATGTTGCTGTGAGAGAGAACCACCTGGAGTGTGTGATGTGAGTGTGTAGTCCGGGAACAAAGATCGCTTGGGTTACACAGAGCTTTATTCATTCATTAGTCCATTGTTAATAACATGAATATGATTTAATGGAGGGGAGGTAGGGGTGGATTGGGGTATAAACTCAGAAGGGGGGCACATTTAAAAAAACAAATAAAAAATAAACCAGCAGGATCAAATGCCATTCCTAGAGGTGCTAGGCTAACCCAGCTTGGACCAATTCCAAAATGTCCAAAATATAACCCGGTACTGGAATTTAGAGATTGTTGTGCACACAGTACAGTAGGGTTGCCGAAAGATAGAAAATAATAAGGGACGCCTGCCACAGCAGGGGCCACACTGATTGAGGGCCTGGCAACGACAGGCCCGATGGTGTGCCAGTGGTGGTATATCATAACTCAAAATATGTTTTCAGGAACGTATTAAGATTGATACCAATGGACATTATAATAAGCTATCTTCCTTTTATAAATGTCTTTCAAACAGCTACAGTAAAACTATGAACAGAAAAAGCTCACTCCTAATAAGCTCCACACAGCACATTGCTGACCAACTTTGTTTCGTCACTCTGGAAAATATCCTTTCCACATAACCAGTGGCTGCTGCGATGCTTATGATGTGGCTGATGATGGACAGGGTGAGAAATTGCTGTTGAACTTGAGTAACTGTAAAGAGTGGTGTGAACACAGATTTTGGCTTAAATATTTGTCATTGTAATACCAGCAGTAATACCATTCAAACAATAAAACCTACATAAATAACCTATCTGCAAACATTTCTAAATTTAATTTATCACCATTTTAATGATTGGTCAGTAAATATATTTATGTATTTATGTTTTCAGTTTTTATTTAGCCTATTGTCACACGTCTGACTGGCCACCGTGCACCACACAGAATACTGGCCAGCAAATTGTGCAGTTTGGCTTGATACTCGTCAAGTAGGCCAGTGGTTGGCAATTGGCGGCCCGCGGGCTAGATATTATTGCTGGCAGGCCTACTTGATGGGCAGATTGCTTTGATAGTAGAAAAATAAATTACGAGGTATAAACTTTTTGCAACTGTAGCGCCACCTAGTGGAAGAATATCCCAGGGCTGCTCAGTGAAGCTCGGGCCAAGCATTTGAACAGATGCGTCAAGTTTGGTTACAATAGTTTATGCCAATTTTGATTTACGGGCCATCCATCCATCGTCAACCGCTTACCCTGCGTACAGGGTCGCTGGGGGGGGCTGGAGCCAATCCCAGCTGACATCGGGCGCAAGGCGGGGTACACCCTGGACAGGTCACCAGTCCATCGCAGGGCCACACATAGACAAAAAACCACTCACGCTCACACCAATCAACCTAGTCCGCATGTCTTTGGATGGTGGGAGGAAGCCGGAGCACCCGGAGAGAACCCACGCAGACACGGGGAGAACATGCAAACTCCACACAGAAAGGCCGGGGCAACCTTCTTGCTGTGAGGCGACAGTGCTAACCACTGCACCGCCGTGCCACCCTGATTTATGTAAAATTGTACGTAAAGACACAAAAAAGTAAAAATTTATGAAAAAAAAGAGATTGATGTATAAAAATTATTTTGATAACTTTTCATTAGTAGCGTCCGTAGATGATCCTGCCATAGTTTCAGGTCGATTGGCGAAACAGTCTGGGACGAGTTCGCAAAAATAGGTTTTAGAGAAAAGAGATAAAAAGTTGTATAATTTAACATTTTTAGAGCAGAAGACCATTGGTGCAAAGATGCAGAGGAATCCAGAGATTAAAATAATGAAAGAAGATTGACTCTAAACGAAGATTTAGATAATTGCAAAAACGCAAAGTTGAAGAAGGACCAGAACCTGAAAAACCAGAACCTGATGAAGAACCAGAACCAAAACCAAAACCAGCAGCTGGTGCTGAAATAGATCTCAGTCATGACAGTTACAGTTACTCACACATTCATTTCCTCGTAAGTGATTGTGCCTCCAAAATAAAAGCACGACAAAACTTTTTGCTGCAATGCTTTATGTCGAGTTTATTAAGAGCTTTTACTTTGAAGAGTTCTGAAGGACACTAGCTTGCGTGACGCTCCTTTTGAAAAAGCCATCATCAAGCATGTGATTGGATTCCTCTGAATTTCCCTTTTTATATACAGTATGGAATTTCCTCAAGGAAATGAAAATAAGTGTCCATAGGTTTATGAATCAACCCCCAGGACGTGCACACACTGCAGCACATGCTTTATTGTGAACATGTGAAAAAGTGTCCTTATAATCAATTTGTTTAAGAAGGGATAAAAAAAAATATCTGCAGTTAGTTGGAATTAATTTTACGACGTTGCAAGTGAGTCCTGCACAGTACCGACTGAGCTAAACGTGCACACTAGTATACAAGGATTTGAAATAATTTCACCATGTAACAGCAACAAATCAAACCAGCAATGGCAGGGAGTATTACCCAATCAGGGGTAGAAAAGGACAAGTCTTCACAGAATGATGGAATGATTTGCATGGGATGCTGCATTAAAGACAATTCGGAATTATGGGACAAACCAAGTCCCTTATTGATTCAGAACGGGCCGCGCTATTTAGTTCTCAAATATGGGACAATTCCGTATTTTAAGGGACAGGTGGCAACCCTACTTTACAGAGACCTGGCTGCACCACAGCATCCCAGATCACAGTTGGCCATGTTCTGGAGTGTTTACATCAGTGATGCTTGATGCTCAAATGCAGTCAAAGTTGATGGATGTTCCACAGATGCCAGCCACATTATCTGCCAAGAATTCCATTGGTGTTGTTTTTTTCTTACTAGTATTTACAACCCCCTATGTGCAAACAGACCTCAGAACTAAATTCTATTAGCATGCCCACACTTCCACAAATAAAAAAACAATTTGTTTGCAGAAAAGATGACACCTTTTATGCTCACTTTGCTCTCCTCAAGAAAGTCTCAGCTGTCCACTGCCCCTAGAGGAATGGCCACTGTCAGTATTCACAGCAGATGTGAGAATAACTCAGAGAGTGAATGTGAGTAAAGCTGCTGTGCCTTAAACCTGCATTCTTTCTAATGGCCAGCACTGGACTCAATAGCAAAATGAGCCTACTTCTCACCTGATTTATTACCTCAGTAAATACTTTCCTAATGAGTTTATGGTCTCACTCGCTAGTTTCAAGTCTTCTGTAATACAGTATGGTGTTCACTCATGTTCATTTAGTAAATTATGGTCCTATTTAGAGGAAAATGGACCAGAAAGTAGGGAAGGCTTTAGGACGAGGCTACCTTGTGATTGATAAGTTGCTATTGTGAGCTAGTTTTTGAGTGCTGTTTGTGTTTTTTTCCCAGTTTGATGTGGAACAGTTTGGAACCTAAACTGTGAGCCAGGCCTTATCACCCAACATCAGTGTTGGACCTCATAAATGCTCTTGCAGCTGAATGGGAGTAAATCCCTGTTTATTATTGGAGGCTGTTTATAGCAGCACATTAATGCCAACTGTTTCTAATGACATGTTCAAGAATCGCATATGGGTGTCCACATACTTCTGGCTATAAAGTGGATTAGCTACTGGCATATTTAGTCATAAATGTGATATTGGCTTTTAGCTTCAACGCCACAATCATATTGGTCTATCCCTTGATACAATAGTTTGTTTGTTTTTTAAACATACTGTGTTGTCTAAGTTGTGTTTTGCTACATTTCTAAACTAGTCTGCAGACTTAAACTGAAAACATAAACAAATTCCACCGGCAGGTTGTTTCTGTCTCGTGGAGCTGACGTCAATCAGAGGAACAGGGAGGGAGAGACTGTTTTGGACTGCTGCGTCTACGGCTCCAAGGTGTGGACAGCCCTCAACACCAACAAAAAGCTGACTGATGCCAGGAGAGCCAGGGACTTTCATGGAGAAAGAGTGCTCAGCAGGTAGATGGCAACACTGCTCTGTGTGTGTTGGCCGGGTTATATAATAATATTAATTTTTATTTTCTAAATTGCATGTATAGAACTGTTATTTGTAATACATTGATGTAGGGCTGGGTGATATGGCTTATAAATAATATATCTCAATATGTTTAGGCTGTATCGCAATATATATCAATCTAAGTATCAATTTACACATTTTGTTTAAATAACATATCGTACATTCTCAAATAGTGCAAACATGATCTTGTAGAATCTGATGGATTGCTGTAGCTTAAACTACCTAACCTATCTAAGTAGTTAAAATGAGCAAAACCTTAAACATCACAGCAGTAAAATCCAAGACACACTTTAATGCAACATTTATAATAATCAAGAAACATCACATATAATAGTAAAACGCCGACAAGGTCCATTTTACTGCACAATGACTATTGTAAGTACATTCTGCTGTAATACTAGCATAAGCATAAGGTAAAAACCATTGTACGGTTTAGAATCGAAAACTTGAAGTGAACTATTTTCAATGTGAGGTTGGTATTAGTACTTTTGCAATGTAGTAGTTTAGGCTACTGTTTTGTAACTGACCTGAATACTTCTTCCAACTCAGGTTAGCACACCGAAAGCCTAACTGTACCTGTGTGTTACCAGCCGAGCCTTCCCCTTTAAGGAAGGTGGCTTTGTGGGTAACCTGTGTGTGAGTCTAGCGAGTTTGTTGTGAAAACTAGTCTCTCCCAGTGTGTAGGGCGGGAAGTTGCATTACTTTAGTCAGTCATAGAGTGTGTAGATAAACTCAGGTTGCAGTATAATATTGCTGTGTGTGCCACAAACCACTGTGAAAAGCTAGCTATATATCAACTACAATTCAGGTTAAAAGCCAATTAATATAGCCTAAAACCGGAGGTATCCCAAATACATTTTGGAGCTGGGAGCTAGATTAATTACAGTAATCAAAATATTGATTGTGTGTTCTCATGGGATCTTTGTCTGCCACAGTGACTCAGCTGCTAACTCACTATATATATATATATAGGTCTATGTAACATGTACACCACTGCACCTTTTACCTGAATTCTTGAAGTTAGCATTTTTGACAACAGAGGTGTTTACCATGCATTGTTTTCTTTATCTTCTTTATATTCATTCTGGTATTGGTACTTACATAGATGATGTCTTGTCAGTTTTCTTTACTCTGCTGTGATATTCTCTTCATCCATTTCTATAGCATTTTTTTTTGCATATTTGAATCAGATTTTATAACCATAAACTTCCTTCTCTTAGGGACATTTCTCGGGGGTACGAGGCAGTTCCTATCACCTGTGTCAATGGTGTTGACAACGAGCCGTGCCCTGAAAATTTTAAATATGTACCAGACAACTGTGTCACCTCCTCACTGAACATAGACAAGGACATCACTCACTTACAGGTCTCTGTAAATTAAACGTTTATTACAGTGCAGAAGGTGGAATGAACTGATGTTTAATATTCAATATGAATTTGTCGTAGTTTTTTCACCTATTCAAATTCAAAGAGAAACCAAAGGCTTGCAGTACATTAAATAATAAAAACATAAAAGATTGTGTATGTAAAAGCTGCAAAATGTCATATCTGACTTATATTAGCTCACTGATTCTGTCATTCAGCACTGCAGCTGTACAGATGACTGCTCATCCAGTGCCTGCATGTGTGGTCAGCTCAGTCTACGATGTTGGTATGACAGCGTAAGTTGACACACACGTGCAAAATGCAAATATATTCGTCTTTTTTTTACACATCACTTCCACTTGGTCACAGGCATGTTTACTGGTGACTAATATAAAACACTTCTAGTGGATTAACTAACACATTTAAGCAGACTTTTGGGATGTTAACAAATTGTTATTGTCCTTTTTGTTTAATTCTGCCTGCAGTATTTACAGGTTTAGATTTTCCAGGGTTGACCTGCTTAATTTCTATTTTTCGTAAGTCACAAATCAGTTTCTAGCTAGGTATAAAGAATCTAACATCTGGCTCTCTCAGAGCAGCAGACAACTTATCTAAACAGAAAATGTGTATTTTATCCCTGATAGCCGTTTGTTACATGTCTCTTGGTGCAAACGTAGGAGGGTCAACTACCACTGGACTTCTGTCAGCGGGAGCCCCCAGTGCTGTTTGAGTGTAACCACATCTGCTCTTGCTGGAAAACCTGCAGGAACCGAGTGGTCCAGAATGGACTGAGGTGACATGTTCTATCTTTTGAGGTGTCGCCTGTGAATCTTCATTTAATAGCTCACTGTGGCTGTTTCTTATTTGTACCAAACCTCCTTTGAAAATACTACTGCTTTTCCTGTTGTTTAATATTTGTATATGAAGCAGTATGCAGAAGTATTCAGTTAGCAATTTTATACCACTGAGCAGCTTTCATAGGAATGAACAGGGCCCCACTGCCGACGCTGGATCCAGTTCTCTTTATACATTCATTACACTACATTTATTCATTTAGCTGACGCTTTTGTCCAAAGCGCAGGTTGCACACCTCTGGAGCAACTAGGGGTTAAGGGTCTTGCTCAGGGACACATTGGTGGACGTGTCACAGTGGGGTCTCTCAGACTAAAGGCATACGTTTTATCCACCGTGCCAGCACCACCACATTCCGCATTCATGTAGAGAAGCTGTTCTACAGGCCACTCGCGAGAAGAGGAGAGTCAAGTGGCAGGGCAACAGGATTTCCTTCTTTCAGGGTCTTTCTCAAGAGGTGCTCCCTTTACAAGACTCCCTTGTAAAAGAGACTGTGTCTCAATGGGACCTTTGCTGTTAAAATAAAGGTTAAATAAAAAGGTGCTTCAGCAGTGTAGGAAGTTTGATACAGTGTAGAAACAGTTCCCAGAGCGGGGGATGCCGTACTCCATGCTGTATCCAGCTACTGTAAAAAACAGAATAAATAATTTCACCTCACCAGACGCAGCAGACGTTCTGGCAGGATGTATCCATAGTTACTGAGCTGGATTGATTGTTTGTGTAAACTACTTAATGGCCATACATGTGTGTTCAGGCGTCATGGTACTGGTTGTCCACTGTAATAGCATCAGATAAATTACAATATTTCATTTACATTTTGTTCCATTTTATTCTACTGTCTCTGAGGGGATTGCTTACTTTATTTACTAAATGCGAGCAGATACGTTTGCGTGTGTCTAGGCTACATGCATGGGTGTGTATGTAAATTAGGGCATATTATTATTCTCCACAGACATGTATGTACATATGCATACAGGTATATATGAGCTTCCACTGGCAAAAGTTGTGGATGGCCCCAATACAATCACTCCATTGCATCCAGTTTTTTTTTTTACATGCACAAAAAAGATATATAACTAAGTACTAAGTATATAACTAATAAGAAAAAGGCAAAAAGCATAATACCACCTTTCTAAACTAAGGCTGAGACCGGCTTTCTTACCTAATCTTAATCTTAAAATTCTGTATTATTTTATTTTTTAAATGTATTTAAATAATAATAATAATAATTTAATGTATGTGTGGAGTATTTGTTGGGTGTGGTGGAGGTTTTATACCAGGCGAGTGGAAAAAGAACTCAATTCTATCTTCCAGGAAAGGGATTAGTTGTTGAAAGTTGTTTTTCTCTTGTTTTCTTGAATTAAATCAATGTCGTGTTTTGTTTTAATGTTCTTCTAAAGTATGCTGCCGTTCTGTCAGCTTTGGGATCACATAATTACCTTTTTTGTTTCAGAGCCCGGCTGCAGGTCTTCAGGACACAGAAGATGGGCTGGGGAGTGAGGGCCATGCAGGATATCCGTCAAGGAACATTCATTTGCGAGTGAGGACAGGCTCAGATAAGAGAAATTACTCCATTCAGTGTTTTCTAGCATGAAATATTTAACAGATTCAGCGCTCTGAGCCCCCTACCCCTCCCTATGCTTCCACAGGTATGTCGGGGAGATCATCACTGACGCAGAGGCCGACAAAAGGGAGAATGACTCTTTCCTCTTCACCCTTGACAATAAGGTAATTACATTAGTGATCATGAATTTTTAAAACCATTCTGAAAAAAACAAAAACAGTTAGGAAATAGGCTGGATAATTAATTATAATATTAAAACAAATGTTAGGAGAAAGAAGAAGTAAAATATAGCTGTTTGGAGCTATTTGAATAGGTAAAGAATTAGTGAGGTGGAAAGATAAGAATCTTTCTATCTCCAATTTGTTCAACTCAAGCAACACAGTCTCAGGAGGGATTGTAAGGCTGTTAATACGTCTAGAAGGAGACTCCAAGTTATGTGAAATGCTTTAGAGACCTTTTTCACTTTTCTCACCAAGATTTTCTATACCCATCTGTCATGTGTCAGAGAGGAGGCATGTTTCCATTTAAGAAGAATGGATGTTTTAAAATTTTTGACTAGTAAGGACTGATTTCCTACTGTCAGACTTATCAGAATACGGGCAATGGTGAGTCTGTGGCATCACAATAGCCTGTTAATGACAGAAGTAAGATCTTGGCTGTTACTGGCTCAGCGCAGCATTAGTGACAAGCCAAAATGATGTGATGCTTTTACGTTTGTGTTATAGGCCTGTGATGTTGCAAAAAATCCTTATTTTTCTGTCACACAGCTAAAGGTGATTATTTATAGGTGAGTATTTATATACCTTCAGTGGTAAGAGAAACCAAAAAGAATGCAAGCCAATACATGGTTCTGTATACATATATCAAACCCTTATATCAAATATAAATGTGACAAGTTAAAAATGCAGCCCTCCCATATGTTGATGGGAAGAATTTAACAAAAACTGAATTATGACAAACGTCTTGCATGTAAGCACATACTATGCTTACATTCTACATTCACCTGTTGATTCAGAAACACTAGGATGTTCGGCAGACTTTCTGGAAAAAGTGATTGAGTGCATTTGCTGTTTGGTCAAGAGATGGCGCTGCAGAGTTGTTCATCTAAACACTGCTTTTTCCTCTTAAGGTTTTACCATAGACTGTATATAAGAAGTGGACATTGTCATTGTGACATCACCCATTGGTTTTGTGGACTGCCGTTTTGAAGCCTCGACTTTGGCCGTTAGGGCGCCTCCATGTTGAGTTTTTGCAACCAGCAGCACCAGACGTGAACATATTTGGACGCAGCGGTGAAATCTAACGGCCGTGTGCCAGCCTACCTAGATTGCTTAGCTAGGTGCGTCTGTAATTCATATTAACTGTCATTTTAACAGGGCTGACAATTTTGTCTAGCGAACAACAGGCTTAAAACTAAATGTACTCACCAGAGAAAGTGAAGAGCCAACTCTTAATAAGCTTTTCCAACAGCGCTGGTTAAATTTACACAGTGCCGTGGGTATGAGTCACTCTAGCCTGATTGACAGGTCGCCATGGTAACGACTTGTAAATCACAGATAATCCCGCTCTGAAGCATACTCTGCTTTATGGTCTATGTTCCTCTAAATGGGAGCATAATTTACTAAATGAACATCACGTTGTATTGGAGAAGATATGAAACTTGCAATTGAGACCATAAACTCATTATGAAAGTGTTTACTGAGGTAATAAATCAGGTGAGAAGTACGGTCATTTTACCATCATTTCTAATTGAGCCGGACTTCTTTTTGCAACCAGAAGAGTCGCCATCTTGCTGGCTGTTCGATAGAATGCAGGTTTAAGGGACCTCATTGGCTTTGCGTCTCAGACCGGAACCCGCTTGGGTTTTATAGGCTAGTTGATCTTGTGATGACAGCTTGTTGATGGTAACAGGCTGGACTAGTCGCTGAAGGAATGATTCTGAAATCACATCTCAGGTTTGAGTACTCAAAGCCCAGCCTTTTTATTTATTCATTTTGCCTCCTTATTCCTATTCAGGGAGGGGTGAGACTACATTTAAATGGCTGTGGTACCTAATCTCATGCCCCCCTTGGGAAGCTGGAATTTTTTATCAAACAGAAACAATACTGAGGACACCTGTAAAAGAACCCAGTTGGACAAAATTGAAATAACATAATCACTTTGCATCTTTTCTCTGTATGCACCCCATCAGGGTAGGCTGCACACAACCACAGAACCACTGCAGTAGGTACAAAAAACAATATAATCAGGGCAGGGCATCCATCATGCAACAAAGAAGGATAGATGATGAGTGTAAATGACAGTGAATGGTAAAATTATGACCCAAACTGTCTGTTGTAAACATCCATCACAGTTTACAGACCCACTTCCTGCTTCAACTTTGAACTACTGTTCTTTCTGTTGTTGTTGTGATGGGTTATTATTCATTTCAGGTGCACTCACTTTCAGTTTATCCTCCAAATAAAGTGGTTTTGGTAATCTAAATGAACTTTTGGCTTCAAGGGCGTAGAATGTAACCTGTCAGTAGCTAGTCAATTTAAGTTAACATTTTAAAAAGCTCCCCACCCTCATATGCTTCTTATTGGTTTGGTCTTTTTTTACTGCCAAAATATGAATTATGAGTTCATACAAACACTGAATCTTTTGTGGCAAATGTAGCCATACTCTCATAAACACAACGTGGGCACCACACACACACACACACACACACACACACACACACATACACACACACACACACACACACACACACACACACACACCACACACACACACCTCATATTTCAATGTGATTGTACCAGCATGTTAAACAGTATCAGCATCAGCTTTATTGCCAGGTATGTGTACACATACGAGGAATTTGACTCAGGATTGTACGTTGCTCACAATATGCTTACTCATACAAACATACAAAATCACAATAATAAAAAGAAATTAAAATCAGACATGACTTCAGTGTAGACAATACAAATATACGCACTATGAACAAAAACAATATAGACATATTGACAAATAGTGCAGTGAGCAGAGTGCAAAGGATGCAGGAGTATGTACATGTCGGAGGTGGATGTGATGTACAGGTACATATACATGCATACGTGTACACATGTAAAAATGTACACAGTGCAATGAAGCATAGTGCAAAGGACGCTGGAATAAATAAGTATTTTGTGCAGGAGTTATGACTTGAGGTAGATGGATTTAGTATATAGTATCTACAATGACAATATAACAGTATGAACAGCACTGAAATAGAGAATGATGAATAAATAAATAATAAGTGGAAACCAGTAACAGGTGCTGATTGAGAGTTACTGGGTTATTGCACAGGAATTGTTCTGACACTGTGAGTCAGAAATCAGCTGTTCATCAGAGGGATGGCTTGTGGGAAGAAACTGTTCCTGAGTCTGTTGGTTTTGGCGTACAGTGCTCTGTAGCTCCTACCAGAGGGGAAGAGCTGGAACAGATTGTGTACAGGGTGAGAT